GGGTTTATTCCCAGCGGTCTGAGGTGGGCAAGACTCTGACAGAAACAAGCGGTGGGTTAATCTGTCATTAATTCAGCTAATTACAGGCCTGTCGTTAGGCTCACAGTTCTGCTGGAGTGACGTGTGTAATTAATGAAGGCAGCCAGTAGGAACGCTGGGATGGAATGTGCAGCTTTCTGAGGGGAAGTTTCAGACGCAAAGATCTGACAGGATGTTCCCTTCAGAACCGCTGACCCTTGACCTGTGTGTGTGTGTGTGTGATTTTGCAGACAGCTGTGTTTTGGATTCTTTGGATGTGTTTTTGTTATGTTGATCCATTATATCAGTGGTTTTCAGTCCTGCACATGTCTCTCTTATCGAAACTCTTCGTTCAGTTCATGAATCTCTCACCCAATGATCATAGGAGTCTCCCAGTCACGTGACCCCTAGCCCCGTGTCATTTTGACATCCGTCAGCTTCTCAGTGGCGGATCTATTATTAGTAGTGGGCCACCCCTAATAATAGATCCCTTGTTGTGGGTAATATATATTATTAGATTATTATTATACTAATAATATAAATATTAGTATAATTATTTTTTATAGTAAGCCTAAATATGGCAATACTTTGTGCGACAGGATTGATATAGTTGCGTGCGATTATCTCGATAATGAACAGAATCGATTTTTTTTTCCTCCACCGCTATCTATTATTAGCGCAGTGGCCGTCAGCTAACTCTTTACGTCATTTCATCGCACTTATTAGCATCACAAAAAGAAATAGCCAGTACAGGAGGAAGATAAAGGAATTGGGAATCATAGAGGCATCTTTTAGACAAACTTCCTGACAATGAGTTCGGTTACATTTACATCTACCGTATCCACTTCCCATCACGCTACACCTCCTTCATCGGTATCACGGGTCCGGATGGGTCAGCAACTCTCTGATCTGGACTCCAGCGGGGAAGGATTTTCAATCATCACTGCAAAGGTTCATCAATGGATTTTTTTATCACCAAATTATATGCCTAACCCTACCTGCGATCATTTTTAAACAGAGTTTACAGGGAAAAACACAAAACAAAATCACATGATTTTCACATGAGAGATTGGGATCAAAGAGCACACACACACACACACACACACACACACACACACACACAGGTTTCTAACCGACGACGAAGACTGAACAGAGCAGCATCGAGTGTCAGACAGTATTCTAGGCTGTTACGTGTGGACGTTTTTCGTCCAATAATTAGAATCTCTGTTTTTTCCAGAATTTAGTCGTAGGAAATTACTAATCATCCAGTTTTTTATATCAGCTCTGCATTCCGTTAATTTGTAAATTGGTGAGATTCGTTAGGTTTTGAAGAAATATAGAGCTGAGAATCATCAGCATGACAGTGAAAGCTAATTCCATGTTTCCTAATGATATCTCCCAAGGACATATCATTAGAAAACATCCAGACCACGCCCACTACATACAGACCACACCCATTACACACAGACCACACCCACTACATCCAGACCACACCCACTACAGGAATTGGTTCACACCCACTGTGTGCTCAAATGTAAGAAAGTTTTGTGTGAAAGTTAAAATGTAAATAAAAAAACTGCAGAAGGTGATGAACAGTCCTCATCATGATGAAACAAGTGTGTGTGTGTGTGTGTGTTCTCTCACTCAGTTCCTCAGGGTTGTTGAGAGTCCTTCACTTTGCCCTGTGTCATGAGCTCAGGGACTGTGTGTGTGTGTGTGTGTGTGTGTGTGTGTGTGTGTGCTACTTTGGCTTTTGAAAGGTTAAAGTTTTGTTTATATGATGTGACTCTTAATGCTGTAGTCAAACTGTGTGTGTTTTGAGTTCTTGTGTAATGAGTGTGTGTGTGTGAGCGGTTTGTGAGTAATTATGGGTTCTGTTTGAAGCGGCCTGTAAAACAGCAGCTCTGGAGCTCCACACAGAGAGTGTGTGTGTGTGTGTGTGTGCGCATTAAGAGCTCCAGCGCTGGCTGGTAAGTTCAGTAGGAGCTGCGGCTCATTTCAGTCAGAAGAGAGAGAGAGAGAGAGAGAGTGAGTGTGTGTATGAGAGAGGGAGGGAGAGAGAGAGAGTGAGTGTGAGTGTGAGAGAGAGAGGTAAGGTGGGCTAGTTGGCTGGTAAACGGTAGTTGTGTGTGTGTGTGTGTGAGTGAGAGTGTGTGTGTGTATGAGTGAGAGTGTGTATGTGTGAGAGTGTGTGTGTGTGAGTGTGTGTGAGTGAGAGTGTGTATGAGTGTGTGTGTGTGTGTGGGTGGTCTACTGTGCCACTCTCTCCTGCTCATTTTTTAAAGTCGTTTGTTTGACACATTCTGGCCTTAATTTGCACTGTTATTTCCTGCTGCACTTACAGCTGTGAGGACTCCCATCATGCACTGCTCTGTGGCCCATCATGCACTGCTCTGTGACCCATCATGCACTGCTTTGTGACCCTCTCGTTTCATTGTGACATCACTGCCCCCCTGTGGCAACTTCTGGAGTGAGTGAGTGAGTGAGTGAGTGAGTGCGTGTGTGCGTGTGTGTGTGTGTGTGTGTGTGTGACAGTGAGATGACACTGGTCTGTTCTGTGGGTGTGTCTGGCTCTCTCTCTGCACAGGAACATGCGGGCGTTCACTGGCTCTAATGGGCTCAGCGTAAACCTTCTCGCTTCTGCTCGCTCTCTAAATAAATAATTACAAAAGCCCATCGAACAGAGACGTCAAACACATGGAGGGCTGTTCTCTACTCAAATAAACCAACAGTCTCTCTCACTCTCTCTCTCTCACTCACTTTCACACACACACACACACACACTCTCTCTCTCTCTCCTCTGTCAGTCATGTTCAGAGCTGTTAATATCAGCAGTGCAGAAGAGTGTCAGTCACGTATGATGCCGTCGCCGCTGCTGTTTGAGGCCGAGTCGATCCTGATGCAGCGCTGAGTTCGAGGGTCAGATGGTGTCCAGAGTTCAGAGTTCAGAGGAAGAGATGTTGTGCAGATTCAGATTCCTCAGGACTGAGAGAAACATGCACCTGATCAGCAGTGTGTGTGTGTGTGTGTGTGTGTGTGTGTACAGCCTTCTGCATTACAGCTCTCTCAGTCGAACTACAGATCTGGGGTCAGTGCAACTGTGTGTGTTCTTGCTCTGGGTCCGTGTCTCTGTGTTGTCATAACATTAGACAGATGACCGATTATACAGCACTTTTAACAATATAGACATTTCTCAGACTGATCTCATGAAGTAGTGTGTGTATGACACGCCAATTCGTATTTCCATTTTTGGCGTGCTATCAAGACGCATAATCGCCTTTCAGCGTGTTTATGAACGCCGTTGACTTAACGTTATATAAATATATGACTTACCTCAACCCCGTCCCTAAACCTAACCGTCACTGGGGTTAATGGCATTTATGACTGGAGATTTGACAGCATGTACAGACACGCGGAATGACGCGGACGTTAACGGCGTAGACATACACGCGGATACACGCGGATACACGCGGATAGCTCAAAATGCGTAGAGATAACACGCCACCTGACTCGAAAGTGCCGTATATGTTTACGCAAAAGTCATGATGTCATGTTGCATTTCTAGACATTCGACACAATCTCTCGCAGTATTCTCATCCGCCAACTCTCTGCTCTTGGTGTTTCTGGAACTGCCCTATCCTCGTTCCCCTCCTGCCTGACCGCCACCATTACGGGCCCTATTCGCCAGGCTAAGTCCAGTTCTGACCCTCTGCCCATTCATTTAGATGGGAGCCTGGTCTTGTTAGTCCGAAATAGCTGCCCGGAGGCGTTGCCAAGATGGCGGCCGAGTGGCATGACTTGCCTAAAAGGACTTTGGCTAAGTCCGACACTGCCCCGTCCCACACGGCTAAGTCCAACAACACCGAACCCCTTTGACCCTCAGAATACGGACAGAAAAACCCTGAATAAAGAAACTCACACGGGTTAGAAACACATGATGGGAGGAAGCGCTAACAGAATGATGATGTCCTGTAAATCTCTGCTGATTGGCTCATGCTTGTGTTTGCAGTGAACAGGCCTTCAACTCTAAACCCTCGGTGTGTGTGTGTGTGTGCAGTCGCAGGTGTGTGACATTGAATTCAGACTTCCTGAATCTCCTCTGCCGCGTGTTTACAGACGACTCCTGAAATTACAGGCATTACTCCGACAGTTGATCGCCCTCGCTGGCTTCTCTCTCTCCGCACATCAAACACTCGTCCCCCGTACGGCTGCGTCTTCAAGGGCCGCGGAGGCTTTGATGTGTGTGTGTGTTTATGATAGCGGAGCCGGAGCGCTGGGCCCGAGCCATGATGGGAAGAAGCTCTGGGATCGCAGGTGGCCTGGACGCTGTGTTTGTGTGTGTTTCTGTGCGTTATCTCACACACGGCCTCTTAAAAGCCATAAACTTCTTTAATAGAGCTCTTAAAGGAAGAGAAGGACTGCGGATCGCAGGATGTTGAGCATGAGCCTTTAATGCCTTTAACACAACTCCTTGCGCAGTTAATCATTAGTGATGGTGGAAGCTGATTGGCTCACACACACACACACACGCATGTGCCTGCGGCCCGACACACACGATCCCGGACGCTTCTAAAGCCCTTCTGGAAGTCATGGAGCTCATCAGCCGGCGCTCGTATCGGTGATTGAGACGTTCAGACTTACGCTGGAGAATTCCCGGTAAATCCCGCCGGAATGGGAGCCATTACACGACCTCAGCGCTGAACTCTGGGAAGAGGATCGCTTAACAACCATAGGCTGAAGTTTCATGGACGTTTATTGAAGAAAAATGTTATTTTTGGCTGCATATCTGATGCTTTGTGCTTTTGTTTGAAGTGATGGGCTGTGTGTGTGTGTGTGTGTGTGTGTGTGTGAGATGTAGTAATACACACTAAAAGGCAAGTTGAGCTAATTGATGTTCTTCTCAGTGGAAGACGGGAGTGAACAGCGTGTGCTGCAGCATCTAAACCCCAGGCCGTGTGTGTGTGTGTGTGTGTGTGTTGCAGGTGCAGTGCTGTTGGTGAGCGTTCAGGGCATCACTGTCAATGTGGATCCGGTTCTGTCCTCCTGGCTGCTGTTCCAACCTCAGAGAACCAGCGGCAGCAGACCAACTCAACAGGTGCGTCTCTCTCTCTCTCTCTGTGTGTGTGTGTGTGTTTGGAGATACTGATAATGAGTGATGCTTGCAGGTTTCCATGGTGATGAAGAAGAGGAGGGAGGATGAAGCATCTGTTGGCAGCACAGCACTGACCAAACAACCTAGCAATCAGGCGTCAGACTACACCAGCAGCCCTGTGAAGACCAAGACTGTGACGGGTACACTCCCTCTCCCACACACACACACACACACTCCTCACACACACACTCTCAAACACACACACACACACACTCCTCACACACACACTCTCAAACACACACCTCTTGCAGACTCCTGACACACTCGAGTGTGTGAGGAGTGTGTGTGTGAGGAGTGTGTGTGTGTGTGTGTGTGTGTGAGGAGTGTGTGTGTGAGGAGTGTGTGGAGTGTGTGTGAGGAGTGTGTGTGAGGAGTGTGTGTGAGGAGTGTGTGTGTGTGTGGAGCTGCTTGAGATGGTTTGACCTTCACACTACAGATGTTGATCATTTCCAGTGTAATCAAAGGCCCCTCAGAGTCCATGCGTTACTGCAGTGTGGTTTTCATTAACAGAAACACAACACCAACCTGCACACACACACACACACACACACACACACACACACACACACACACACACTTAATCTGTTCTTAACTCCACTTCCTTCTCTGGTCTTCCTGTAATTTATTATTTGATTTGTAAACACACACACATTATTGTGTGTTTTATTGTGTGTATTTATATGTGTTTTTGTGTACATATGTGTGTTGTCCTGCAGCGATTATGAACATGAAGAACAATTCTAACGTGTGTGTGTGTGTGTGTGTGTGTAGAGTCGAGGCCTCTCTCTGTTCCAGTGAAGGTTTTTCCATCATCTGAGGAATGTGTCGTGAGTTCAGAGGAACACATGAAGAACCTGATAACACACACCTGGAACGCCGTCAAACACCTCACTCTACAGGTGTGTGTGTGTGTGTGTGTGTGTGTGTACATGCATCTCGCATGAAACTTGTGGAACTTCACTCAAATTGTATTTTGCTTTAAATCTCATTGTGTTATGATGGATTAGTTTAGATTAAGGTTGGTGATTAATCATGATTATTATCTGTGTGTGTGTGTGTGTGTGTGTGTATCAGTCACTTCCTGCTGCTCAGTGAGTCGGTGTCGTTCTCTCCTGTTCGAGCGGTTGTGTCATGAGTTATTCTGATGTTATATTAGACTCGAGTGTGTTCAGTTGCTACCAAAACTGTAAGTGGATCTGCGCTAACAGAGCGGCCGTCGCCATGGAAAATCTCAGTAACGCCGGCCCGCTGCCGCGCATTAATGAACGGGGTATTTTCTGTGCGTGTGTTTGCTGTGGCTCCCGGGACGAGAGCAGATGTGTGTGATGAATTAAACCTTCTTCTCCTTTGTCAACATCAACTCAATACACACTCTATTCACACTCTATTCATCAGCACGTCTGCCTCTGAAACCACTTTACTTTTCATCAGTGGCCGCTTCCACAAACCGCTTAGACTAGTATCTCAAGTTAGTCATCTATTTTTTTTATTATAAAATAACATATAATAATCATAACATAACTGGCCATGTCTTTACATAAAACGTCTCAGTTGAACCTGAAAAAGTAAGGGTCTGATGCGACACTCTAAAACACGAGGTGAGTTTTATGCAGCTTTTCTCAAGATGTGATATAAATCTATGGCGTCCCCAGAACATGTCTGTGAAATTTCAGCTCAAAATACCAGATCATTCATTATAGCTTCTCAAATTTGTCAGTTTTTGTGTGTGTCCCTTTAAATGCAAAATAGTTTTAGCCCCGCCTCTGTCCAGAAGAGGGCGGAGCCTTTCAGGATCAGGAGTAACAGCAGCTTTAGCTCCGCCTTCCGGAGAGACTCAGGGAGAGCTGCACTGTTACACGCTTCTGAATGTTAGCGGAGACGTTTGTGTAGTTGTTGTGGAGTCACACTGATCATCTCATCATCATGTTGAACTCTTCCACAAGTGTCCACAGTTCCTGAGACAGTGTTTATAAGACAGCGCTGGTCACATGTTCTGCTCAATAGTGTTCAGTGTCGTCTGTGCTGACCTCAGAACAGTTTCAGGCTCAGCTGGATCTTCTCCAGTGCGTTACAACTGGGCTCTGTTGGCGTCGCCGAACCCAATGTCGCTGGAGTGTGTGAACGTGCAGATCTCTCCTATATTTCTCCTACATACATGCATTTTTGTCTCAGTGCGTGCATTGTCTTAGTTTGGCAGAGCTGACCGCTAGCTTAGCTTAGCATAATGAATGGAATGCTTTGTTGTTGGATAGCATGTCATGGTAAAAATAAACAAATTACTACTTGTGGCCTGTGTATTCACAACGAGTCGAATAGCGATGCAGATTAAGACTAGGTGATTTCCCAGGCAGACATCGACTGGATATCCCACAACCCCCTAACGTCAACATACCGGCGTGACCGGCACCGAATATCATCGATATCTCTGCGCCTAAGTAGCAGTGCTTCGCCTGTGCTTCACCCCAATATAGTTCCTTTATATATGCCCCTTTAAGGGGCGTTACTATTATAATAAGATCCTCTTCATACGGCAGAAGGAGCGAAATCTGATCGGCTTATTTTATAACATGCTCTCAGAGAAACACTCACCAGAACACAGTTACTGGGTTTCACTTCTCAGGTTTTTTTGGTTGGTAGAAGCACCGGGACTCGATTATAGCACTTACACACGTGTTTCTGCAGGTGGGGCTGCAAGCGGGATGTGTGTGTGTGTTAACTGTGTGTGTGTTCCCACAGGTGGAGCTGGAGTCTTGCTGTGTGTTCGTGCCGTCGGACAGCCTGCCGTCTCCCGGGTCGCTGGTGAGCGGAGACGTGGCCGGGACCGTGCGCTGCTGGTACCACAGCCAGGCCTGCATGCCCGGGACACTGGTGCTTTGTCTCCCGCAGATCAGTGTGTTCAGCGCAGGACACCGGCGCATGGAGCCGCTACAGGACGGGCCCTTTACTGTACCCAGACCTGTGCTGGAGGAGGGTACGAGTGTGTGTGTGTGTGTGTGCGCCCAGACCTTTGCTGGAGGAGGGTACAAGTGTGTGTACTGTGCACCTGAGACACGAGTGTGACGTCTGTGTGTGTGTTCACAGGCGATGCGTTCCCATGGACAGTGTGTGTGAGTCATCTGAGCGTCTACTCTCTCCTGGGCCAGCAGCGTTCCCGCAGTGTTCTGGATCCGCTGGGCTTCACCTCTACTCTGGCACTCACCGCCCCGAAGCTGCAGCCCGAGAGCAGAGACGCCTTCATCATGTGCCTGCATGTGGACCTGCAGCCGGTGCAGCTCCGGTGCTCCAACCCTCAGGTACTGCAGAACACAGGTGTACAGGTGCAGAACACAGGTGTCACCTCACTGTCAGTCAACTGTCACTCCACTGTCACCTCACTGTCACCCCACTGTCCTCACTGTCAGCCCACTGTCCTCACTGTCAGCCCACTGTCCTCACTGTCACCTCACTGTCACCCCACTGTCACCTCACTGTCAGCCCACTGTCCTCACTGTCACCCCACTGTCACCTCACTGTCACCCCACTGTCCTCACTGTCAGCCCACTGTCCTCACTGTCACCTCACTGTCACCCCACTGTCCTCACTGTCACCCCACTGTCCTCACTGTCACCCCACTGTCACCTCACTGTCAGTCAACTGTCACTCCACTGTCACCTCACTGTCACCCCACTGTCCTCACTGTCAGCCCACTGTCCTCACTGTCACCTCACTGTCACCTCACTGTCACCCCACTGTCACCTCACTGTCACCTCACTGTCAGCCCACTGTCCTCACTGTCACCCCACTGTCACCTCACTGTCACCCCACTGTCACCTCACTGTCACCCCACTGTCCTCACTCTCACCCCACTGTCCTCACTCTCACCCCACTGTCCTCACTGTCACCCCACTGTCCTCACTGTCACCCCACTGTCACCTCACTGTCAGCCCACTGTCCTCACTGTCACCTCACTGTCACCTCACTGTCACCTCACTGTCACCTCACTGTCACCCCACTGTCACCCCACTGTCCTCACTGTCACCCCACTGTCACCTCACTGTCACCCCACTGTCCTCACTGTCACCCACTGTCACCTCACTGTCACCCACTGTCACCCCACTGTCACCTCACTGTCACCTCACTGTCACTTCACTGTCACCTCACTGTCACCCCACTGTCACCTCACTGTCACCCCACTGTCACTCCACTGTCCTCACTGTCACCTCACTGTCACCCCACTGTCCTCACTGTCACCTCACTGTCAGCCCACTGTCCTCACTGTCACCTCACTGTCACCCCACTGTCACCCCACTGTCACCTCACTGTCACTTCACTGTCACCTCACTGTCAGCCCACTGTCCTCACTGTCACCTCACTGTCACCTCACTGTCACTTCACTGTCACCTCACTGTCACTGTCCTCACTGTCACCTCACTGTCACCCCACTGTCACTCCACTGTCCTCACTGTCACCTCACTGTCACCCCACTGTCCTCACTGTCACCCCACTGTCAGCCCACTGTCCTCACTGTCACCTCACTGTCACCTCACTGTCACCCCACTGTCACCTCACTGTCACCTCACTGTCACCCCACTGTCCTCACTGTCCTCACTGTCACTCCACTGTCCTCACTGTCACCTCACTGTCACCTCACTGTCACCTCACTGTCACCTCACTGTCACCCCACTGTCACCTCACTGTCACCTCACTGTCCTCACTGTCACTCCACTGTCCTCACTGTCACCTCACAGTCACCTCACTGTCCTCACTGTGACTCCACTGTCCTCACTGTCACCTCACTGTCACCCCACTGTCCTCAATGTCCTCACTGTCACTCCACTGTCCTCACTGTCACCTCACAGTCACCTCACTGTCCTCACTGTGACTCCACTGTCCTCACTGTCACCTCACTGTCACCCCACTGTCCTCACTGTCCTCACTGTCACCTCACTGTCACCTCACTGTCACCTCACTGTCACTCCACTGTCCTCACTGTCACCTCACTGTCACTCCACTGTCCTCACTGTCACCCCACTGTCACCTCACTGTCAGCCCACTGTCCTCACTGTCCTCACTGTCCTCACTGTCACCTCACTGTCACCTCACTGTCACCTCACTGTCACCTCACTGTCACCTCACTGTCACTCCACTGTCCTCACTGTCACCTCACTGTCACTCCACTGTCCTCACTGTCACCCCACTGTCACCTCACTGTCAGCCCACTGTCCTCACTGTCACCTCACTGTCACTCCACTGTCCTCACTGTCACCTCACTGTCACTCCACTGTCCTCACTGTCACTCCACTGTCCTCACTGTCACTCCACTGTCCTCACTGTCACTCCACTGTCCTCACTGTCACTCCACTGTCCTCACTGTCACCTCACTGTCCTCACTGTCACCTCACTGTCACCTCACTGTCACCTCACTGTCCTCACTGTCACCTCACTGTCACCTCACTGTCCTCACTGTCACTCCACTGTCATTCTCCTTACGCCTCACTGTCACCTCACTGTTTTACCTCACTTTCCTCACTGTCACTCCATTGTCATTCTCCTTACGCCTCACTCCACTGCCAATCTTGGACATAGTTTAGTCACTTCCCGTTCTCGATTACTGCAATTCCCTTTTATTTGGCCTCCCACATAAAACCCTCCATAAACTACAATTGGTCCAAAACACAGCTGCCCGTATTATCACTCGTACCCCCTCTATGCATTACATCACACCCATCTTACAACAGCTCCACAGACTCCCCATCACTTACCGTATCAAATATAAAATACTTCTCCTCACTTTTAAAGTCAGTCATAATCTTACCCCTTCATATCTTCTGACCTCTGCTTGCACTGAGATCCTCTTCTTCCACCCGTTGCACTGTTCCCCGTGTGTGTCCGCACTGTTGCTGTGTGGAGTTGAGCTTTCAGCTGCTCTGGACCTCCGTAATACTGATCCCCTCTCTCATTTTAAATCCAAACTCAACCCATCCCAAACTCAAAACCCATCACCCCGTCTCATGTGTGTGTCTCATGTGTGTGTCTCTGGTGTGTCTCATGTGTGTCTCAGGTTCAGCTGTTGTGTCTCATGTGTGTCTTAGGTTCAGCTGGTGTGTCTCATGTGTGTCTCAGGTTCAGCTGGTGTGTCTCATGTGTGTGTCTCGTGTGTGTCTCAGGTTCAGCTGGTGTTCAGTCTGTGGTGTCGATGGAGTCAGATCTTCAGTGCGTTCGAGCGGATGCAGAGCAGAGGAACACACAGGTCGTCTCCAGGTTTCCCAGACTCCTCAGCAACCCCTGCTGGACCCTCCTCACCCTCACCTGTCCCCCCCGACACCAGCACCTGCAGCCCCTCAGCTGACCTGGGCTCTCACACTGAGGTCAGAGGTCACACACACCATCCCTCTCACTGTTGGATGGATTGATGGATGGATGGATGGTTAGATAGATAGATAGATAGAGAGATAGAGAGATAGATAGATAGATACTCTGTCAGCATCTGTGTGTTGCTGGACTCAGTGTTGATGTGTGTTTCAGGGGAATTCGACACACACTGAGGAGCCGGTGGTGTGTGAGACCATGACGCTCGAGCAGAAGACCTGCAGCATCAGCGGCTCCAGCGGGAAGCTGAGCGTCTGGATGCAGTGGATGCTGCCGAAACTCACACTCAAGCTCTTCTCCTGCGACACTGCGGCCAAAAACAACGGTACTGACCACACACACACACACCGTCTGCAGTTCAGACTATCAACATGTGAAGATGCGTTCCCTGATGCGTCTCACGCTGGTGTTTGGGTCAGATCACCACACGCACACACACATAGGGTCAGATCACCTAAAACTGCGACAGCTTCATCTCTAATAATCCTCTTCACAGCATCAGCTCAGCTTTTGAATTGAATTGAATTGAATTGAATAATAAACAGGAGAATATCAGAATCACTGATGAAACTTCATCAAATATTAGAGTCAGGAGTGAAGCAGCTCTACAGAAGAAGAGAGAGTCATTACTCAGATCCAGCTCTGTTCTCATCTGATCAGTGCCGTCAGATCAACAATATCACTGAATATGACATGTCTCTTAAACCCATGTGACCCGTCACTGCTCCAGCTGCTGATGTTTCAGAGAGGAAGAGAGAGAGAGAGAGAAGCTGATCACAGGAGAACCCTCTGCAGAAGAGGATATTCATGTTAGAAAGGATAACATCAAGCAACAAACAACAACTATAAGAAAACTTGCAGTAAAAGAGAGGCAACTTAAAGATGTTTTAAATAGACAATGCTATTTATCTCTATTTATACTTTTGCTTGAGTTTTGTTTGAAAGAACAGCACAGAAAAACGTTTTTGAATGCAAATGGAATTTTAAAGAGACCAGTGAAAGCCATATTTTCCCCTATTTTATATCTTCACTGAGATATGATAAACAAAACAATTAGAAAAGTGGCAGTTATTTTTTTACATTCTAAACCAACGATGGCCAGCGCATCATCTTGGCCCCGCCCCTTCACCTATACCCTCAGAAGAGCTCTGAGCACCCCGGGCTGATGCTCAGACACAAGCAGATAAAGGAGAGCCTGACACACTGATCGCTGATCTACATGACCACAGTGCCATGAACAACCTGCTCTTTTACACCGAAGCCTTCTGTCAGCATCTCACCTTTATCAAGATAAGAGGCATCTGTAAAGGCAGACAGATCTTAGCATTTGAAGACGCTGACAAAAGATTTTTGACCCTGAACTTGTATCAAAATGGCACAGTCATGATCCAGGCATCAGAGTCTGCTCTCAAGGTCTTCATTGAAGATTTTGAACTAATAAAAACGCTGGCACTGTCTGATGAAGTGGACAAGAGTACGAACATTGATACCTCCCCTGGAAAATCAGTCCAAAAGATGACAGTGACTTCAGCAACTGCGATCCCATCTCCATTGTCACGAATGAAAGACTTACAGCCTCATCATATGTACGAGCGCGTACATCTCAATAAGCAAAGAGTGAAAGTCTTCGCCAGACTGCTGAAAAGCACATCCCTTGAAACACAGCAAGAAACAGCAGAAGCGCCGATAACAAGAGAAGCTCTCAGCCACAGAGAAGCCCTCGTCCTCCAGCAGAGCCCAGAGCGGCCCCGGACCTCCAGCACAACACCACGAGAGAGAGAGAGTGTGTGTGAGAGAGAGAGCCTGCAGGGCTGAGCTAGTGTGCGTGTGTGTGTGTGTGAGAGAGAGAGAGAGAGAGAGCCTGCAGGGCTGAGTCAGGCCTGTATCCGCTGAAGATTGAGATCTAGAAGAGATGTGTTCAGTTCTGGCATCACCTCCATCAGTCTGATCCAGAGTCAGTCCAGTATAAAGCCCTCCTCGCCAATGAAAGCTCAGCAGAAGCTCATCCTCTACACACACTCGCTCTTCAACTCGTCCATCAGACCGCACTCCCCACTGACCACAGCTGCAGCCCCAAAACTACTGTTGGAGAGATCCACACACACCTAAAACACACTCATGATCATCACTAAAAGCACATTTTGACCTCCCGAATAAACTCCAATGTTACTCGACCCTCAATAGAACCACTAAATTGGCCAGCTATCTATTTATCAAACATTTTAAAGAAAGACGAATCCTCTCCAAATACAGATGAAGCGACCCGGATCTAGAGATCGAGAGAGGAAGGGCGGAGAGAGACTGAAACATCTGCGGAAGGACAGCAAGATCTGAGCGCGTGCAGTGAGAGTCGCTCGAGAGAGCTCTCGCTGATGATGATGGTGTGTGTTGTTCGTGCTGAATGGACACATCGCCCCCCCGAACAGGAAACAGGAAGTGGCTCTGAGCCGCTGGGTCTCGGGATCACAGCTGCACAACAGCAGAAGAAGAGGAGACTGACAGAGACCTGACACGATCCTCCGGTCACACACACACACACACACACACACACACACACAGAGCGGAGACTGACAGAGACCTGACACGATCCTCCGGTCACACACACACACACACACACACAGAGCGGAGACTGACAGAGACCTGACACGATCCTCCGGTCACACACACACACACACACACACACACACACACACACAGAGCGGAGAGTGACAGAGACCTGACATGATCCTCTGTGATCTCTCACACACACACACACACACACACACACACACTTGCCACATCAGTAAATAATTAGACACGAAATATTGATCTGAGTGGAAATATTTGATTGGTTGGTTAAACGCAAACCTTCTCGGAGAGATCAGTCGCATCATCCCAGAGACACACACTGATGACAGCACTTCAACATATTCATAATCACGGAGATCAGACATATTCACTTCAGATTAAACTGTTTTAAAATCTGTTAGTGTGGACTTCAGTGACCCGGATGAGCCTGCGTTATCTGCTTCGAGAGGTTGTTATCTGGGAAAATCTTACAGCGCAATTGACCAATCAGAATCAAGCATTCCACAGAGCCGTGTAATAATATATCAGACGGGACAGCCTTCATTGCTGATCGACGAGCCTCGCGTCCATCACACTGCTGCCGGTTTGTTCCTCCTCAGACTCTGTTGGTACTCACCACTGCTGACTGGGAGCGACACACACACACACACACACACGCACACACCTCTGTTCCTTCGCCTGCCAATAACAATCCGGCTCAGATCTTTAATCCGGGATCAAACACTGATTATCAGAACCGGGTGTTTGTTCATGTAATGATGACCGATGATGTCACACTTCACCTGTGACTGATCATAGTGTTCTGACTCATCAGTGCATATGCAGTAAATACACACCGTGTGTGTGTGTGTGTGTGTGTGTGTTTCAGAGCTGTGTGTGATGGCAGAGATGGAAGACTTGAGCGCATCTGTGGATGTTCAGGACGTTTATACAAAGGTGAAGTGTAAAGTGGGAAGTTTCCACATAGATCACTACAGAAGCAGGTGAGTGGAACACACACACACACTCACACACTCACTCACACAACACACACACACACACTCACTCTCTCACTGGTGTATTATGATGTGTTTGGGAGCAGAGAGAAGTGTGTGGATCAGCGAGTGGACTCTCTCTCTCTCTGCAGTGCCAGCGGTGTCTCTTCACCCAGAGTGTGTGTGTATATGTTGTGTGTGTGTGTTGTGTGTGTGTTGTAGGCCTGCTGAGGGTTGGCTCTGTGACGGAGTGATCCTGCAGTGCAAGGAGTCGCCTGTGGTGAGACCTGCAGCGCCGGTGCTTTAACCTGAGCTCTCACACACACACACACACACACACACACACACACACACACACACACACACACACACACACGCAGCTTTACTCTGAGCTCGCTCACACACAGCTTTAACCTGAGCTTGCACACACACACATTCACTGACTGATGTGATTATGGGATGGCGGGAGCTGCAGATAATGATGTTTGGAGAAGTTGAGATTTAAGGTTTATCAGAATGAAGGTTAAAACCAGAGAATCAGTGTCAATACTCTCCGTGTGTTTCTGATCAGAGCCGTGATACGCTACAGGGTTTCGATTGGTCCTGATGTTGGCCAGTGTGTGTGTGTGTGTGTGTGTGTGTGTTTTGGTGCATGTGTGTGAGACTGTGTTCAGTCCTGTGGTGATTTCTCTTCTCTCTGCTCCCAGAATCCTTTTCACAAGCTTCCAATCAAGCAGCCAGCCAATCATAGCTCTGACTTCTGCCTGTGTTTCTGTGTTGTGTTCCTCTGGTGTGTGTGTGTGCAGTGCTGAAGAGAGCTCGTGCGGTGGGGTCGTCCTCTCTTGCACTGAAAAGCTGAACAGACGCACGGTTCTGCTGCGACCCCTCAGCAAGCAGGAGCATTTCAGCCATTTCAGCTTCTGTCCCCCCGTAAGAGCCGCTGCCTCTGATTCTCACACACACACACACACACACACACACACTGCTTCTGATTCACACACACACTGCTTCTGATTCACACACACACACGCTGCTTCTAGATGCTTCTTCTGCCGCGCCGCCAGCAACACTCCTGTTAATCATCTGTAGCGAGACGCTCGCGTTATATGACTGAATAGATTCCCGCTTCGCCGTCTCACACACGCCGGTGTGTTCGTGCAGTGTTGCGGCAGCGCGGCGATCGTGTCTCTCTCTGATCACGCTCAGCTCACTCTGTTCTCATGCTGCTTTGAGTTGGTGTGATTGTAGCTGTTGATCACTCGAGTCTGACCTCTGACCTCTCGTGTCCGACAGACGGCGGCGAAGGCTCTGGAGGTCTCGCACCAGCAGCACGGGTTCCTCTCGGTGACCTACACGCAGGCCGTCACTCGGAACGTGCGGCACAAGCTGACGGCGCGGCAGGAGCGAGTGTCCCAGAGGCTGAGCGAGGACGGCACAGACGGTTCGCCGCAGTACCTGCACGAGATCCTGCTCACGGCGCAGCCCTTCGACCTGGTGCTGTCCTGCCCCCTGCTGGTGAGGCTGGCGCAGGTCTTCCACGTGTCCGCCCCCCCGCCGCTGCGTCCCGTCAGAGAGAGCGTCTCCGCCGGACACCCGATGACGGGACCCTCACTGTCCTCCAGCAGCCTCCCGCTCATCTACCTCAACACCAGCGTGATCCGGGTGTTCTGCCCTCTGGAGGACACGACCAGCAGCACACGTGAGTCTCCCTGTGTCACACGCTCACACACTGATGATGATGATGATGATGATGTGTGTTTGTGTTCAGATTCACAGATGAAGCACAGGAAGGAAGACACGGTTGTGTTGAAGATTGGATCTGTGAGCGTCGCTCCTCAGGCTGATAATCCACTGCCGCGCTCCGTACTGCGCAAAGACATCTACCAGTGAGTCTGTCCGTCTGTGTGTGTGTGTGTGCGAGAGAGAGAGAGTAGTTGTGGTCTCTCTGATGCTATTCTGAGATGCTCCCACTGTGAGAATCAAAACCACAACACTTAAATTCACACTTTAACACACACACACACACACACACACACACACACACACACACATCTCAAGAAAACTACAAGGAAAGCTTCATTAACAGAAGTAATGATCTTTTACTTGAATTAAGGATTATTCTTTGAAGAGTGAAGCATTTCTAATGGAAGTGCAGAATAGATGTTTGTCAGCTGGTGGATGTGGGTCCATGGGTTGGTTAGGGTTAACTAAGGGTTAGGTTCAAAGGGTTAGTTCATATACTGTTAGTTAAATACTGTTAGTTCTCAGTATTTACTCACCCTCATGTTGTTCCAAACCTCTCTGCGTGTTTATTTGTTCTGCTGAACACAAAGGAAGATATTTGGAAGAATGTTTTAATCAAACAGATCTCAATCCCCATTGACTATTAACCCCCTGGGGTCGGCGGTCGCACCGGCGCGATCAGTGCGATAAGAAATAACTCAGTCGATTTTTGTTGTACAGGCAAGTGTTATACATCATTCAAAAGTGAAAATGAACTGTAACTCAGTGAATACAGACATGTCTTTACAAAGCTTGAAGTGTCTATTTCTCAATTGTGTAAATCATATCAAAAACTATTATTCTCTGTTTAAGTAATCAGTATAAAAGCAACGAGAGTTATAGTTTCTCAGCCGCGTCCTCGTTACCTCTAATGTGACCACATCCACTCGCGCACAAGCGATCCACATGCTAGTCGTCCATGTGAAGAAATGGGAACCTGTAAACACCATCATTACCTCAAAACAAAACTTCATCCGTTCTCTGCTTTGCATCGAGTTTGGAAGACACACTGTGAGTTTGCCTTGGATTTACCTCAGAAGAGGAAGAACATGGTTTAAGGTTGAGAAAGATTTTTAAGGTCCATGCCTGTCTCACTCCATTCCCGTCTCCCTCCATGCCTGTCTCATTCCCTGCCGCCTCACTTCCTGCCCATCTCACTTCCTGCCCGCCTCACTCCATGCCTGTCTCATTTCCTGCCCGTCTCACTCCCTGCCTGCCCGACTTCCTGCCCGTCTCACTCCCTGCCTGTCTCACTTCCTGCCTGTCTCACTTCCTGTCTGTCTCACTCCATGCCTGTCTCACTCCATGCCTGTCTCACTTCCTGCCTGTCTCACTCCATGCCTGTCTCACTTCCTGCCCGTCTGTCTCACTCCATGCTTGTCTCACTCCATGCCTGTCTCACTCCATGCCTGTCTCATTCCCTGGCCGTCTTACTTCCTGCCTGTCTCACTCCATGCCTGTCTCACTCCATGCATGTCTCACTCCATGCCTGTCTCATTCCCTGGCCGTCTGACTTCCTGCCTGTCTCACTTCCTGCCCGTCTCACTTCCGCCTGTGTCACTTCCTGCCCGTCTGTCTCACTCCATGCCTGTCTCACTCCATGCCTGTCTCATTCCCTGGCCATCTCACTCCCTGCCCATCTCACTTTCTGCCCGTCTCACTCCCTGCCTGTCTCACTTCCTGCCTGTGTCACTTCCTGCCCGTCTGTCTGACTCCCTGTCTGTCTGAATCCCTGCCTGTCTCACTTTCCTGCCCGTCTCACTTTCTGCCCGTCTCAGTCCATGCCCGTCTCACTCCCTGCCTGCCTGACTTCCTGCCTGTCTCACTCTCTACCTGTCTCACTTCCTGCCCGTCTTACTCCATGCCTGTATCATTCCCTGCCTGTCTCACTCCCTGCCCGTCTCACTCCCTGCCCATCTCACTTTCTGCCCGTCTCACTCCCTGCCTGCCTGACTTCCTGCCTGTCTCACTCTCTACCTGTCTCACTTCCTGCCCGTCTTACTCCATGCCTATCTCATTCCCTGCCTGTCTGACTCCCTGCCCGTCTCACTCCCTGCCCGTCTCACTCCCTGCCCGTCTCACTTCCTGCCCGTCTCACTCCCTGCCTGCCTGACTTCCTGCCTGTCTCACTCTCTACCTGTCTCACTTCCTGCCCATCTTACTCCATGCCTGTATCATTCCCTGCCTGTCTCACTCCCTGCCCATCTCACTCTCTGCCATCTCACTCCCTGCCTGTCCGACTTCCTGCCCGTCTCACTCCCTGTCCGTCTCACTTCCTGCCCGTCTCACTTCCTGCCCGTCTCACTCCCTGCCCGTCTCACTTCCTGCCCGTCTCACTTCCTGCCCGTCTCACTCCCTGCCCGTGTCACCTCCTGCCAGTCTGTCTGACTCCCTGCTTGTCTCTCTCCCTGTCTGTCTGACTTTCTGCCCGTCTGACTGCCTGGCCTGCCTGTCTCTTTCTCTGTCTGTCTGTTGAGCACATGGCTGGTTTCGGTGTGTGTTTACAGGCTGTTTGTGTCATATAAACTCGGCGGGAGATAAATGACCAGAGCAATTAAGATGTTGAAATGCGAGTTGAAACCCAGTGGCGTTGGGTCGTTCCCACAGCTCTCTCTCCCTCAGCTTGCTCGTCCTGCTGTCGACATGCGGCGAGTTACGGCTCTCAGGAGGGCAGAGGAGGCTCTGCGGTGACGATGATGATGATGATGATGTGTGTATGAGGATATTAAACTCTTATCAGTCTAATGGAGAACAGGCGTGTGTTTGGCCCGCAGGAAGGGCTGAGAACATGAGTGTGAGAACATGCTTCCAGCTTCAACATCATCATCATCACAGCCTGTCATTTCCAGCATGTCCTGCGGAGCGGATCCGCACTCAACGCCACGGTACCACGGTCTCTCCGCTGCTGCTCTCGCCACTAATTACTCTCATTTAGCTTAAATTAAATGTAATTGAGAATTTGAGTGTGGCAGTAAATCTCTGCTGTGCAGTTCTCGGTTCAGAGGCGACCGCAGCCTGTGTGGGTCATGATGTCATCAGACGTGAGTCAGGTGGTGTGAGAATCTTCTCAGGAGCTCGAGAGACAAACACACGCTCACACGAGAAACTAGTACACACTATGTTTAGCATATAGACAGATAAAAAATCATCATTCTTTCATCATTCACTCACCCTCATGTCGTTCAAACCTTCTGCAAAACAAAAGAAGATATTTTGATGAAAGTCGATGGGGTCCAATGTTGTTTGGTTCCCAACATTTTTCAAAATATCAGAAGAAAGTCTTGAATGACATGATGGAGAGTAAATGACAGAATGATGATTTCTTTGTCAACTATCGCGATTTACATGACGATAATATAGCGTACTTTATACACCCTCATGAAGCAGACGTCCTGCTGTGTGTAGTGTGTGTCGTCCGGATGCGTGTCGCTGTGAATGTGATCGATTGCTGTTGCCATAGAAATGGCTGAGTGATGCGTGTTGATGGAGTCTCTCAGTGAATGTGTTTATGAACACTGGTGAGAAACATCAGATCTCCTCGAGCGCTCCGCACATCTGGAGGCGTTTAGGAACACAGGCCGTGTTTAAAGCAGCAGCGCAGCGGGCCAGAGCAAATAAACACATCACATCACTGCTGATGTCACACGCGCACACACTCGCACAGACGCGCACACACACACACACTCACACAGCTACTATTGCTACTATATTACTCATATCTTAGTGTGTGTGTGTGTGCGTGTGCTGCTGCAGCATTGATCACACCTCACACTCTCAACTCTGTCAATTTAACACGGAAAGCTTTATTGGCATGACAAAAACATCATTTTTTAATTGTCAAAGCATTAAAACAATATGGAGTAAAGCCTATGTAGAGAAAATAATAATTAAACTAAATAAAAAGACTATATAGATATGGCTAGCAAAAAATATACAGCAAAAATTATATTAACAAAAGATTATAATACAAAAAGTCATGTAACAACTAAACTCTGTCTCTCTCTCTCTCAGGCGGGCGTTGAATCTGGGTGTGCTGCGTGACCCGGGGTCAGAGGTCGAGGACCGTCAGTATCAGATTGACCTCCAGTGCATCAACATGGGCACGGCTCACTGGGACGACCTGCGGCCGGAGCGCGAGGGGCCGAATGCTGCTTCTCCTGCAGACGCTGAGCGCAGCTCCCAGAACCCCGCGCTGGAGTGGAACATGGCCAGCAGGTGAGCTGCATCACAGAGCACTGAACTCTGGGTAGTTTCTGACGGGGTGTTTTAGGGCGACCACTGCTGATAAAGGTTCAGGACGATGAGCTCATGCAGATGAAGAGAGACGCATTGAAACTTGTTTACTGAGATGAGGGCGGGGCAACCTGTCACTCACAGGAGATCCACCAATAGAAAACCACAACCATCCAATCAATTCCTCATGGACAAAATCTGGCTGACTACATCATGTGTTGTGGCCGTGTCTGGGCGCAGGTCCTCCATCTGGTCTGGATGCGGCCCGGATCCGGCTGACTGCATCATGTGTTCTTACATCCTGCATCCCAGTCCCGACTGACAGAGCGTGTCTGCTTCCCGGACAATGCTAGGAAGACTGTCCCAGATTTTAGGTGCTAAATAGGAAAATGATCTACCACCAGCAGTCGATTTTGATATGCTAGGTACGCACAGCAGCCGAAAGATCACATGATCCCCTGACAGGAAGTGGAATATGTCTGCTAGTCAACAGCGTTAGTCCTGCACGGGTGGTTTTCAGCTCAGGTCATGTGATCTGTCTGGCACCTGTTCAGGTAACAGGATCCGCTCTCGACTCTTCAGTGGAAACGCTCCAATCGTGTGCCGGCAGTAATCCCTGAGTTCCCTGCGTCTAATCCACTGGCCACCATAAATATTAGATGCTTCGCTGTTTGATTGTTTTAATAGTAGCAGATGTGGCACCTTATAAAGTGCCGCATGTTTGTTTTACTGCCCACAAATGTTCTCAGAGATCCGATCGGAGTTCATGTGTGGGAGCGGGAGCGTGGGAGCCGTGCATGTGTGTGCGTGCGTGTGTGTGTGTGTTTGTACCTACTTAATCATATTTTGGGGACAAAGTTGTACAGAGAAGTGAGCTAAACTTTTTGGACATGTGAAAATCATAAAAATAAAGTAAATACCGTTTTAATAATTGTCTGTCAGGGTTACAGTATTAATAACTAGCTGCGTATAGAAACAACAGAAATGTGTGTAATGTGTTCAGAGGGTAGAGTGTGTTCTCTGATAAACAACATTAATGATGTTGATTCTTGTTTCAAGTTTGTGCCTCCCATGAGTTTGTTTATGAAGGTTTGATGAAGGTTCAGTGCTGTGAGACTGTCAGACGACTGTAGAGACACTGAATGTGTGTGTGTGTGTGTGTGTTTGCAGTATCCGACGGCAGCAGGAGAAGCGAGTGATCCTGTCGCCGATCATCACAGATTTCTCAGTGCGAATCACAGCAGCTCCAGCTGTAATTTACCGGAAGCCTCTGGATCACGGCCCAGCGGAGGTACGCGTGTCTGTCTGTCAGTGTGTGTGTGCGTGTGTGTGTGTGTGATAGTGTGTTTTCAGTGTGTGTGTGTTTGTGCGTATGTGTGCTTGTGTGTTTTCAGTGTGTGTGTGTATGTGTGTGAGTGTGTGGGATGATCCAGTGATGCACAAACACACATCGCTCTGTCCTCCATCAGATGGAAATGTGTGTGTGTTCTGGGAATATTTGACCTGAGACAAGGCTTTTGCACAGTAATGCTTCGGCCGTGTGTTTGTTTGCTTCAGTGAAGTTCCATATTTGACATTAAATACTGAAAATCACTGAACAAACAGCCACTGAATTCCCTTTACTCAAACCTGGAAAGAGAAGCGGATGAGCACCAGGACAGTTATTCAGTGTCTGCCGCTTTAAAAGCTTTATATTTGTTAGTAGACGTCAGATGCCTGTTTAATCAATGCAGGAAGATTTACGCTTTTCAGGTTTAGTGTCATGGTTAGCGTTAACAGCTTTACAATTATTATAGCCTTCATATTCAGTGATATTGTTGATCTGACGGCACTGATCAGATGAGAACAGAGCTGGATCTGAGTAATGACTCTCTCTTCTTCTGTAGAGCTGCTTCACTCCTGACTCTAATATTTGATGAAGTTTCATCAGTGATTCTGATATTCTCCTGTTTATTAAAGTAAAGCTGCTCTGAAACGATCTGAACTGTATTTCGCGGAGAAATAAAGGTCTGTTTATTGGCAGCTTCAGTTAAACGAGCTCGCTCTCCCGTCCCAGCATGCTCTCTGTCAGTGTGGTGTTCTGTGTGTGATGATCAGCTGACCTCCCTCTCTCTCTCTCTCTGCAGGAGGTGGTGGTCTGTGGCCACAGTCTGGAGATGAACATCACGTCCAGTCTGGATCTGTTTCTCAGCGCGTCTCAGGTTCAGTTACTGCAGCAGCTCCTGCAGGACAACGTGGGGCAGACGACCTGCGACCCGACCACTGCAGACGTACGGGAACGCGCACACACACTCACACACACACACACACACACACACACAGGTTTGTCTGTTTGTCTGTCTGTCTAGTGTGAGGGAGTGTCTTGAGGTGCTGATGTATGTCTGGTCTCCTCTTCCCATCATGCTCTAGTGTTTACAGAGGAGAGGGGCTCGGCGCCTCAATAAAAGCCTCTCTCACACACTCTAATGGAACGGCATGTAAAAATATTTACGGCAGCGGCCTGTGTGAGGATGGAGGAGAGCGCCTCTCTCTCTCTCTCTCTCGCTCTCTCTCTCTTTTTCTCTTTCTGTATCTCTGTTTCTCTCTCTCTCTTTCTCTCTCTCTTTGTCTGATGTGCAGCTAAAAGCATCTGATCGCGGAGTGTGTGCCGTTGACATGCTAGCGCTCAAACACACACATCCTGCTGAATAAACAACACACAGTCATCACATAAACACACACTGAACGCTGATAGAGCGACACACACATATCGATGTAGACACGTGGCGACTGGTTTCTAGTGTCGTGTCGAGTGTGTCTCGTGTGTGTGGAGGTGAGACGCATCTGGTTCTGATTGTGGGAGTGATGTTGGGCTGAATCATCTCTGCCTCCCTACAGATTCAGAGCGTCACTACCCAGAGTTCACCTGGGTTCAGGACATGAGGTTTAACAGCCTTGTGTGTGTGTGTGTTTAATCCACGCCAGAGCACCCTCCAGTGGCCACACACTCTGTTCTCTCAGTGTTCAGAGTCCCCGTCTTGAGTCTGAAGAGTCTGGCTGAGAGCCTGAATAAAACACATCTGTGTTAATGACAGACACACACCTGAGGAAGACGACACACCTGATCCCTCGCTCTGCTCCTGATGTGGATCACTGGTGAGTCGTGTTCTGATCCGGCATTACTCGTGTAATGGAGAAACTCTCCTGATTCCGCATGGGTTCACCCAAGGTCGTGGAGCTGCTTAAGCTCAGGCTGGTGTTCTCCAGGGGTCAGACGTTACGCGGCTCTGACCTCTGACCCCTCTCGCTTACACGCGCCGGGAAGGTCACGTGTGTTTTCTTTCTCTCGTCTGCGTTTGGCTGCTAAACATCTGCGGAGTCAGAGTTTCTCTGCGGCTAATCTCAAATATTTGTGCGCTCTCAGAGTTGGTGTTTTTAGCCTTCCAGTCTGTTATGAAACCCGATCGTCCTCTTTTCTCCCGGTGCTCGCTGACCCTCGTACCAGAATCAACCGATAATTGACAGCCAGTCAAAACAGTTCACCTGAATCCAGCGGTGTGGCATATTCCCCGATCCACCTCAGAAACCGGATCTGTTTGAGATCAGTAGCAGCTGAGGCGTTCGCTCATAACGCTTTGGCAAAATTGGCGTGAAACCCCAGATAAAATCATCAGGCGCAGAATTACATTGAAGAGAAACAAATCCGCCTGAGAGTCAGGCCGTCTGACCCGCGGCTCTGGTTTCAGCTCAGGTGCCCGAGGGCAAACGGGGAACGCATGTTAACTCAGGCCGGGTCGAGGAGAGAAAACACGGCTTCCACCTGTATAAGCAGAACCACAGGTTTAGAATAACAGGTGAGAGGACGAGTTCAACCGCGCACAGATCTCCACCGGATGGAGACCTTCAGACGGATGATTTCAGAAAAGGCCCACTTGTTTGATTATTAAACATTTTGGCTAATTTGATTATGCTTTCAACTACTAATAAGAGAACTATACTTTGTGTATTTATACATTTTTATTTTATATATATTTTATTTTTATTTTGGATGTTTAAAATGTGTAGTTATTTATATTTGATAAATTTAATTTTTTGTATTGTATTTTTATTTGTAATTATTTTTATTGTATTTTATTTTTTGTATTTTTTATATTGTATTTTCATTTGTAATTATTTTTATTATATTTTATTTTCTTGTATTTTTTATATCGTATTTTTATTTGTAAATATTTTTATTGTATTTTATTTTCTTGTATTTTTTTTATATTATATTATGTTTTCAGTTTATTTTGTGTTTTAGGTCTGACACTGGAGCTGACGGTCGTGGTGTCGTCGTTCTGGCGGCCGCTGGTGCTGACGGTCGTGGTGTCGTCGTTCTGGCGGCCGCTGGTGCTGACGGTCGTGGTGTCGTCGTTCTGGCGGCCGCTGGTGCTGACGGTCGTGGTGTCGTCGTTCTGGCGGCCGCTGGAGCTGACGGTCGTGGTGTCGTCGTTCTGGCGGCCGCTGGTGCTGACGGTCGTGGTGTCGTCGTTCTGGCGGCCGCTGGTGCTGACGGTCGTGGTGTCGTCGTTCTGGCGGCCGCTGGAGCTGACGGTCGTGGTGTCGTCGTTTTGGCGGCCGCTGGTGCTGACGGTCGTGGTGTCGTCGTTCTGGCGGCCGCTGGAGCTGACGGTCGTGGTGTCGTCGTTCTGGCGGCCGCTGGTGCTGACGGTCGTGGTGTCGTCGTTCTGGCGGTCGCTGGAGCTGACGGTCGTGGTGTCGTCGTTCTGGCGGTTGCTGGAGCTGACGGTCGTGGTGTCGTCGTTCTGGCGGCCGCTGGTGCTGACGGTCGTGGTGTCGTCGTTCTGGCGGCCGCTGGTGCTGACGGTCGTGGTGTCGTCGTTTTGGCGGCCGCTGGTGCTGACGGTCGTGGTGTCGTCGTTCTGGCGGCCGCTGGAGCTGACGGTCGTGGTGTCGTCGTTCTGGCGGCCGCTGGAGCTGACGGTCGTGGTGTCGTCGTTCTGGCGGCCGCTGGAGCTGACGGTCGTGGTGTCGTCGTTCTGGCGGCCGCTGGTGCTGACGGTCGTGGTGTCGTCGTTCTGGCGGCCGCTGGAGCTGACGGTCGTGGTGTCGTCGTTCTGGTGGCTGCTGGAGCTGACGGTCGTGGTGTCGTCGTTCTGGCGGCCGCTGGTGCTGACGGTCGTGGTGTCGTCGTTCTGGCGGCCGCTGGTGCTGACGGTCGTGGTGTCGTCGTTCTGGCGGCCGCTGGTGCTGACGGTCGTGGTGTCGTCGTTCTGGCGGCCGCTGGTGCTGACGGTCGTGGTGTCGTCGTTCTGGCGGCCGCTGGTGCTGACGGTCGTGGTGTCGTCGTTTTGGCGGCCGCTGGAGCTGACGGTCGTGGTGTCGTCGTTCTGGCGGCCGCTGGAGCTGACGGTCGTGGTGTCGTCGTTTTGGCGGCCGCTGGTGCTGACGGTCGTGGTGTCGTCGTTCTGGCGGCCGCTGGAGCTGACGGCCGTGGTGTCGTCGTTCTGGCGGCCGCTGGAGCTGACGGTCGTGGTGTCGTCGTTCTGGCGGCCGCTGGAGCTGACGGTCGTGGTGTCGTCGTTCTGGCGGCCGCTGGAGCTGACGGTCGTGGTGTCGTCGTTCTGGCGGCGGCTGGTGCTGACGGTCGTGGTGTCGTCGTTCTGGCGGCCGCTGGTGCTGACGGTCGTGGTGTCGTCGTTCTGGCGGCCGCTGGAGCTGACGGTCGTGGTGTCGTCGTTCTGGCGGCCGCTGGAGCTGACGGTCGTGGTGTCGTCGTTCTGGCGGCCGCTGGAGCTGACGGTCGTGGTGTCGTCGTTCTGGCGGCCGCTGGAGCTGACGGTCGTGGTGTCGTCGTTCTGGCGGCCGCTGGAGCTGACGGTCGTGGTGTCGTCGTTCTGGCGGCCGCTGGTGCTGACGGTCGTGGTGTCGTCGTTCTGGCGGCCGCTGGAGCTGACGGTCGTGGTGTCGTCGTTTTGGCGGCCGCTGGTGCTGACGGTCGTGGTGTCGTCGTTCTGGCGGCCGCTGGAGCTGACGGTCGTGGTGTTGTCGTTTTGGCGGCCGCTGGTGCTGACGGTCGTGGTGTCGTCGTTCTGGCGGCCGCTGGAGCTGACGGTCGTGGTGTCGTCGTTCTGGCGGCCGCTGGTGCTGACGGTCGTGGTGTCGTCGTTCTGGCGGCCGCTGGTGCTGACGGTCGTGGTGTCGTCGTTCTGGCGGCCGCTGGTGCTGACGGTCGTGGTGTCGTCGTTCTGGCGGCCGTTGGAGCTGACGGTCGTGGTGTCGTCGTTCTGGCGGCCGCTGGTGCTGACGGTCGTGGTGTCGTCGTTCTGGCGGCCGCTGGTGCTGACGGTCGTGGTGTCGTCGTTCTGGCGGCCGCTGGAGCTGACGGTCGTGGTGTCGTCATTCTGGCGGCCGCTGGTGCTGATGGGAATGTGTTTTACTGGTAATGCAGTGTTTTGTTTTGTGGTTTTAGAGCGAGCTGCTGCAGACCCTACCCCTCAGTGGACGGGGGAATAACTCTAGCGCTGGACTGCGGTCTCAGAGACACCTGGAGCCCGTCTCCTCTTCACCTCTCGCTCACCCTGAGCTCCTCACAGACTGTTTGTCCTTGCCGTAACCAAAGCAAGCATCCCCGGGGCCGTGAGGGGCGTCATGACCTCACGAGATGCCTGTGTTTGAGGCCCGAGAGACGTCATGTCCTCACGAGATGCGCGTGTGTGTGTGTTTGTGAGTTTGATGTGCGTTTGCATGATGTTGATCTGATTTGTTCCGTCAGCAGTCTGTCACCTGCGGCTGACCCCTGGAGTGCACCGTGTGGAAGGCTTGTTCATTCTCAGCTCATTGAATGCGGGGTAAATGATGCCGGATTCCCAGTGGTTTTTCCAGCAGAACCGGCACCAGTGACTCATCAGTCTCGGATCCGACAGACCCGGGCGGTTTCACTTTACTGGCGCGTTTTTCAGGGTCCCTGATGTGTGTGTGCTCCTGCAGGCCTGATGTGTGTGTGCTCCTCAGTGAGTTATGCTGCAGAACTGACCCGCTGAGATCCGCCCGTGTCGGTCCTGTGGTTGAGCTGTCGCTGTGAGCTCGGCGCTCTGGGCTTTGATGCTCGTCTCTGAGCGACTGCGATCCTCCCAGAACACTGAAGCCGCGGCGCTTTAAACGCTTTTGTTTTCTTCAAAGGGAGTCTTAGATTTGAGGAGAACATTCTCTGGCGCTGAGCTCTGAACACATGAGCTTCAGTGTAGTTTCTGAACTGAACCTGACCCTGTGTGTGTGTGTGTGTGTGTGTGTGTGTGTGTCACTGAACACGTCACATTTTCATGCCATACATCCAGCGAAGCCCCACCCACTGCAGTGCCTCAGATATTTTGAGCTTGTTTGTTATTTTTTAATTGTTGGTTTGTTTGCTTATGATTACTGTGGCCAGTTGCATAAACTACTTAGACTCGTCTCAGTAGTTAAAGGTCATTCACACAGAAAACACTTTTGCAGTTAAAAACAACAGACGCAGGTCAGTGGAACAAAAAAAGTGCAAAAAATGTACTTTTTTAAAAGTTTTTGTTAAAATTTGAGTACTGTGTTTCTAGAATGGTCTAGGACCTCAAACACGTTCTAGTGCATGTTTACATAGAAAAACATGTTCTGCGTGAACATCTACAGTTTTTCTTTAGAACTGGTCATTATTATTTTTTGTGTCTGTAAAAGAAAAATGTAGATTGATCTAATCTGAAAACTAAGACTGCTAGTTGGTCTGACTAGTTCTGAAATTGTTGGTTGCACTGGTCTTTTCTTCTCTATTGTTCTTCTCTATATCCGAGTGAAACGAGAGAAGAGAGGCTGCAAGAGGACGCTATTCTGATTCAAGTTTAACAGGAACATGACGTATAACAATATGATAACATTAATGATAATTATAATTTAATAAATAAATACAGCAATATTCTATTAAAAACATTTTCATGGTTACTTTA